CACATACATGTTGATTATTCATTGTGAAGGGAGCAACTAATGTTTTGGTAACAAATGTTGCTAATGGGTTATAAGGACATTTGCCACAGCTCACAAAATAGTATTTATAAAAAACAATCTAATGCAATTTATCTATTGAAGAATTTATCCAAACCAATAAAGAGTATAGTCAATGAACATACCTGGAACAATAAACATCCATGCACACACATTTCATATGAGAATTATATTTTTGTTGTATTCTTTCACTGCTTTAAGGACTTGAAAAAATATTTCTATGCTTCCTTGTAGTACCTAACTTTAACCCTCCACACTTTAATGTGATATTGCACAGTCACTACATTAACCTTTGGACCTCTCCTCAAACGTAGATACACTCCACAAAATATGGACCAAACCTGAGTGTTAGCTTAACAGTCTAATACTTCCTATTACTGTATGTCAGCCATCGTTTGCAGATATTAGTTGTGGCACTTCAGCTTTCATCAGGAAGCCCAAAACCGAGTAGGTACCAATATTTACTAAGAAAGCCCTTTAATTTTAAAATGGAAAAGGTTTACAGTGGTTTAAATTTGTTTTAATAAATGCAATATGAATTAGTCACATGTAAAAGCCACGGAAACCAGTCCAATTCTTATTTATAAGAAAACCGCATATAGCAAAAAAGTTTCTTCCAAGAGTTTCTTCACACTAGTTCAACTGACTACTATATCAAGTTTGCATATTAAACTATTTGTGTTAAGGAGTAGCAGTATATTGGTCCCACTGCTTAACACACTATACAAATATACACAGCACAATCTCCACATCAACCTCAAAGCAGACGTAAGAAGAGATGCAAGAGAAAAATTAATGAAGAAGATAAGGTAAAAAGGTAAGGATTAAACAGCATTAGGAACAGAAGGCTATAGAATAATGGCAAACAGATTTTACTAATAGGCAAATCAAAAGAAAGCAGTCCTCCAAACTCACATCAGTTGCCTATTTATGCTGCAGAAATCGTATACTGAAACCATAAATTCAAACACTGCACTATAGTAAAAAATTTATACACTATTTCAATTCAACCACTTTACAGAAATTAACTTGATCTTGTAAATATTAATTCAATTTTTAAACATCCACATTATTCCAGAATCTAGTATCTACTCCTTCTGAATATAAAATATCATAAAATGCTGAAGAAGTCTTAAAAAATAATCCTTTTTTAATCTTAGACTTTGACATCTACTCCTGTTACTACCCAGCATAATGCTTTCTCTTTCACACCTTGCAGTCTTGTACAAAAATGCTGCAAACTACCAGGAAAAACAGCTTATAATTTTAACTCCTCTTATACCCTGTAAGTGCAACTAATATTTCAGTCAATTAAACCTAATCTTCTTAGCCTATGAAAAGATTAACAGTTATGTAACTAACGATGTCTAATTTTAGTTTCTATGTTTCTATTTTTAGTGAAGATCTGGGAGAATGGCATACAGCTGAGAAACATTTTGTATCTGTTCTTTTAGGAAGAAAGCACTGAAAATAAGATTTAACAAATATTCTATTCTTCAGTAAGCAGAGAACTAAGCATACTGAGAACAGCCCTATTAACAGCTCCAATTTTGATTACAGCAGCAAAGACCTAATTAAACAAAGCAGCCATCAGGTTTTTTTTAGGTGGATCACAACAGAAGCTAAATTAAACTTAATTTTGCACTGCTAGGCAGAACTGAGAATATTAAGTCTCAGAACTATTTTGTTTTAAAAGTACAGGAGATACTGAGTGAACTGCTTGAAAGAATGGAAAGGCACTTTGTTACAAACAGCCGAAGTGAACAGACTCTTCTACTGAAGCAAACAAGAAAATGTTTCAATAATGTGTATTTTTCAGACACATATTATCTTACTATCTAAGGACTAACATATTAAAGTCACTTGCACACTTTATTTAAGGCTTTTAACCTAGTAGCCTCTAAGACAGAAAATCCCCAACACATAACAACAACGACCTTTTACTACCATGTGTAAGAAGATCATTCACAGTGACATGAACCTTATTTCAGACTGGGACTTCTGGGAAAAAATGAAAGATCACAGTAATACAGAGAAGAGAGCTATAAAATGACACTGTCAAAAATCTCACCCATTATGTTAACTGGGTTTTCTTAAGTCTTATCCATGATTATTTCATTAGTTTTCAGCTTAAAAGACCTCCAATAATAAAACTACTGAACACTGACAGTCTTATTGCCACAGCTATTGAAAATAAAGAACAAGGAGTTAAAGCACAAACAGTTTCCGGACTAGGAGTACATTTGCTTATTGTGGATTGTCTTTAAAGACAACTGGTAAGAGCTACAGTGAATGTCCAGAGCAAGAGACCTTCTACAGTCCGGTACTATCAAACACAAGCAGAACAGCAAGACTCTTCAAAGAACAATGCTGGATTCATTAAACAGAACCAATGACTAGGCTCTTACAGTCTCTAAAGAATGGAAGAAAAAAAAAAGAGGAAAAAAAAAAGGGGCAAAGCTCCAAAGCAATCTACCATTTAAGAAGAAACCAGAGCAATATGTGAGGTTTGATTTTTATAGGAAAAATTACTTTATCTTTGGCATGTGTGCTACTTCTTCATTAACCAATTACAATTATAGAAACCTGTAGTTTACAGGAAGAAATCCATATGACATTTTTCAAGAAATGTAATCAATTTAATTTCATTTCTTAATGGTTCCTTTCACTTGATTTCCTTCAAAGTTCTCACACACGCCTACATCATCAGGAGACATACAAGAACGTTCCAACATATGAGAACTCTATATAAAACCCTTCATAAAAGGAAAAAAAAAAAATCTCATCTTTGGCCTGAGTCCAGCTTCTTTCCTAAGATCTCGTAGCTAATTTCCATTCCTAGGGTGGATTGTGAGCTCTTCCAACACCTCTGCAATCTCAGTTCTAAGGATATTGCTTTTCTTGTGAACAACCCTAAAACTGTATTTCCTACAATTTTCACAGGTCCTTAAAATAGAGGGAACCCTGCCTGCCTAAATTACACAGTTCCAATCCCAGAATTTAAAAAGAAGTAACCTCACTCAGGTTGTCTTTTTTCCTAGTCATCACTTCTGTGACTTCACAGATCTGTAGCTGCATGAAGTTGGAGGCCTCAGGAACCACACGGGCTCACAGTGACTCTCTGCCTTATTCTTAAAATACGGTTTTCCAGTTGAGAAGCTCTGTCAAAGGCACTACTCAATTAATCATAGCCAGGACTCGAAAAGGTCAGAACATGGTACGCTTCTAATTTATTTTCCTGCCCTTAATAGTGCAGCCTTCTCTAAGAAGGGGGCGGGATACAAATAACTACTTCCAGCTTCCAAAAGTGCTAAGATACTGCCCCAAATCCACAGGGGGGAAAGAAGAAATTACAGAAACAATATGGTATGGCTGTACCAGTTCCAAATACTGGTGTGCAATACAGACTATTTAAACTGGTAATTTCTGAGTAATAGCAAAAACCTTTTATACATCTATGTATAGGTATGTATATGTGTACACACATGCACACAGACATATTTATTCTTAGTAATATACCTTCTCCGCTCCTGATCTACTACGTCAATAAAACATCAGTAAAGAAAGCAAGCCTGAAAGCTACTACATAAATCAATTGAGTTGAACAGAAATAATCTCCCCTGACAATTTGGTTCCCTTTCTGAATACAAGGGGAAGAGACAACCAAAAGTAATTTAACACATGGCGCATGAAATCCTAAGCAACCAATATTACATCAACAGCAAAAGAATCAAGATGCTAAATAATTATCTCCTCAAAGAATTCTAGAGCTATTATCAAAACAAAATTGGATTATTTCTTTTTCCCCTGCATAGAAAGTAGATGAACTCTTATCTCAGCTGAAGTGAAATGAATAGGAGACGACAAACATTGCGTATTTCCTCCTTTCAACACTTACTTTCTAGGTTATACCCTCTATGATGGCAAAACTCCCACCTAATTTAGTGCTGTTGCGGTCACAGACACTTTACACATGTTCTATCTTCCCCTACCAAATCCTGCAGCAAATCCTTTCACTGATTCTCAGAGACATTGAGTCAGGCTCAAATTATGCCTCCGTTAACCACTGTATATCATCTCAAAGTCAACAATCCTGAAAAGTCATTCCTCCTGCCAGCCAAATGGGCTCTAAGTTCATTGTGGTTTATAAGTACTGCCCCCGTCTCCGTGCAACTTGCAGTACCGAGCTTTCTTGATCTTTTTTTCACGTTGGTAATTAAACTATCTTAACTCCAATTGTACACTACCAGATCTTATGAAATCTAGAAAGGGCAGAGTCAAAACAACTAGAGCTGTTATAAGATCACCATTCTAAAATGTGAAAATCCTCTCAGATTTTAGATGAGTAAGCTCATCTAAAGACGAGAATAGCTACTTACTGGTTTCGGCATTTTTCTTGTTTTCTTTAGCCTCTTGTCCACTTAAGCCTTCTACAAACTATTTGTCCCCTTCTGTCAAAAACAAAATTAAAAGGGTTATTTTAAAATTAATCATAACAGAGTTCATGTACTTCACAGCAAACAGTACAAATTCCAAAGCAGGTAAACAAGTGCTCTACATGTACAAAATACACTTTTAAGTAGATAACACAAAGAAAAAGAATGTAAGTTATCCAGTACCAGAATCTACAGGTCTCTAAGTAGTAACCTCCTTTCTAGCTTTTGTAGACTAATAATCCACTAATGTTAGAATAAACAGACAACAGTTCCCCAAGTGCTACAAATTCTTTTTAAAACTTTTGATATCAGACACCTTCTAGTATTAGAAACCTTTAACATTATTTGCGAGAAAGTAAAATTTGTACAAGGAACTCCAAAGCTGCAATTTAATGTCAACTCTAGTCAAACTTGAAACATCATGAAAACAAAGAAAAGAAACCTAACATAACGTTAAAGCATCAAAACTGTATTCCATGTCTATAAAAGCATCCATTTCTCTCAGTAAAGGAATGATACAGTCATTTTTCCCAAATGAAGAGAAATGCAAGTACACCACCACAGTAAAAAAAGGAAGAATAGCTGCTCTGCTTAAAATAATAGAGCTTTTTTTTTTTTTTTTTTAAGCAGAAAGGCTGTAAGTTATGTCTACACAGTAATGAAAGTATTCACTATTGTCTTCGGTTCGAAAAAAGTATGCTTCCCTTGAAAAAAATATGCTTGCAATGTTATTGGTAGAATGAATTGAAAAGGAGGCAGAATGCTATGTAACTGAGAAAGAATAAGCAACTGGTCACCTTCTTGCACACTTCTAAAGTGATGACTTCCATAAATCAGTCCTACTGCTGATCTGCAAAGAGGACTAAAGCTGCATTGCCTTCAAAAATAATATTAACTGGAATTACAGTCATACTAAAAAAGAAATAAAAAATAGTGACATACTACTCCAAATAATCTGAGATTCCAGTATTATAACTGCATGACTACATCAGATGAATAAAATCTTCAGAAGTGCTTAAAAAAATACATATAAGGAGAAAAACAAAATTTTTACAGTCATTCATTTATCAAAACAAAAAACTTTTGTATAAACAATTTCTCATTCATAAAGAAAAATGCCAATATAAAGTATTGTTATATATATTTACAAAATAAGTTATTCTTTCCTTGCTTCTTGGCAATAAAAAACCCAGTAAATATTAGAAACAATTGCAAAGCAACCTAAAGTGCACTAGCATTTTGTTTTTATTTCTTTTTCTAATATGTAGCGATATGTTTGAAAAAAAGGAATGCAAAAAAGAGATAAAGGATGAAAACAGAATTTAAAAACCATCAATGTTGTTGGCTGGTAAAGAAAAAGTAACGTTGAGACTAAAGATCACAGAAAAAGAGATCTAATAGTATAATGCAGATATGGAGCAAATTTTGTTTAATGAAAAATGAGCCTGAAAAAAATACAGTATCTTTAAATTATATTCATTATGACAAAGTAGCACAACTATAGAAGTGTAATACTACGTTTGCCCGACAGAGACAATTACATTCCAGTGGATTATGTTTTTAATTATGGAAGATATTCTAAAGTATTGGACAGTATCAGTAAGACTACTTTACCATTCTAAGATATCGTTCAATATATTCTTGAAAAATATGAATACACTTTTCCACAATCCCCCCACTTTTTTTTGTTTTAAACCAAAAAAGCTTGGGGGGAGGGGGAAAAAGCTTTGTTTGGATCCTTACAACACTGGATTTTGATAAAATTCAATAGCACCTTTCTAGTTCACAGAACAGATCGTCCCCTCTCCTCCTCTCCTTTCACTAACGTACTCCTTGTAAAAATTCAAAATAGTAGTAAAAAGCAAAACAAGGCTGGCCCTAATATCTGCTAACAGTAAGCACGATTTCAAGCCGTAGTAATCCCTGCGTTCAACTTTTTGAGGCTTGTTGCTTGCAAAACTGAAGGTAGATTGAAGCCCTAGAGTTAAGCTCAGTTAATTAACAAGGCAAAAGCTAAATTAGATTCTCATCCACAATATTATAAGCATGCCAACTCAACTGTACTAAAAGAAATAGAAAGTAGCACAAATATTTTTATGTGCCTGTAGTTCTATTAGCATTGAAAAGAAGGGGTATGGTAAGATGGCTGATAAGTTAAGTCCAGTCTCCAGGAGACAGCATATGGCATGAGGCCGAGATCTGTGTTACAAATGATTACTTTCTGAGGTCTTTCTAAAAGAGATCATGTCTTATCACTTTCTAAAATGACTGTCATACCCTCATATCATTGCAAATTCTTCCATAAATATGTCCCAGCTTTTTGCTTTGTGTTTTACCCCAACATTTTGTTAAACTACCATCAACCAACCCTAAATTACTTATTTGAAAACATATTTTAAAACCTTAAGGTAATTTTTAAAATCAGAAAGTGACTACAAAGTTTTATCAGATAATTCTATGTCAGCAAATCACAATTGGTAGACATGTAATTTAAATGAGTTTACAGAATTAACATTTATTGTCTGCATGCAATAAAACAGCTATCAGCTAAAACTAAGAATCCTCTTGTGCAAAGCTCAATAAAAATGAAGCCTCACTGTCAGCCTCACAGATCTCACGGGCCTGATAAATTATCAGAGTACACAAGCAATAGGAAAAAACTATGCAAAACAAATAATGGCCCAGGTATTTTTTGTTGAAGCGTTTGCTGTAATATCTTTTACTAGAGTAAAAAAACCCAACAAAACTATAATTTATTTTAAAAGAAAAAGAAATAAATTTAATAAATTGAGAGCCAACTATGCTGAACTTGTTTCTATTCCAGATCATAAAGATCTTGTGCCATATTATTGGGGGGGAGGGGGAATTAAACTCAATTGATACGGTCTAAAATGTAAATACATGGATCATTGTTTCCATTTTATATATAATGCAAAAAACCACCAGCCTGTGTCTATATGCTTTCATACTCAAAATGCTATGCAATTTCAAAACAGTATATTCACACACAAGCATTGCAACTAAGTATTATAGGTATATAAAGCCCAGGAAATTCACAGGTCTTAAAATGGTGCAAAAACTGAAATCAAATAAGCACTGAACAGAAAAATAACACCCTCTCTTTCCCAATTATTGGCACCAGCTAACACTAAAAACAAAACAACTATAAGGAAAATATTTGGCAAGAAGAAACAAAAAATGACTGCCAGGCAAAATATTGTGCATCTCCACTATTATTACTGGAGTGGGAGTTCACTTCTGCAACTTACACATTTCCAATAAGTTTATATTTAGTGGATGCAACCATAACAGTTTTACTAATTTTATCTTTGAAACAATCAATTACTTATACTTTGATCTTAACACTCATGTGAAGTGGCATTGCAAATAGAGGGGAAAAAAACAGCCAACAGGGATTGGGAATGATAGTCCTGTTGCTTCCTGCATTCTGAAACCAGCTTGTGACCTACTAGACATAAAGGCTCATCACTTTGGCATTTCAATTCCCAAAGGTGCCTCTTCCAAGTCAGCATTAGCAGGGTTGTGACTTTGCAGAGTTCCTCCTGCTACAACACTCCAGCCCTCGAGACCTTCACAGCATATACAGTAATCTGGACTCTGGACCAAACCACCAAAATATCAGCAGGCTCCACATCAAAAAGAAACAAAAAATCATCCAGAACTTCAAGAATTCTCTTGAAATGACGAACTGTGATTTCAATTCATTTCACTACAAGGCAGTTCAGATTTTTAAATCGGTATCATCCATGTTTCCAGTTATGTCACAGAAGCCAACAAATAAAGCAATTGTTGAAAGATGACAAAGAAAGCTTTCTTCAGAAAATGACGGTGCATAAAATGCTTGATGCCAAAATTCTGTCAAATAATTTATGCAACTGCTGTTTTCAAAAGAAACATTCATACACACAGCCATGGGTCTGAGGTCAGGTGAGGATGGGATAGGAGGCAGAAGGCTTGAGCAGGATGCCTGGTTGGCAGAGAACCAACCCTCAAAAGCGGGATCCCTATCTGACAGCTTCAGACCTTCTCTCAGAAGCAGTTTCTTCAGCAGTGTGCCTTCTAAGCTCTAGCAAGAGGTTCATCGTCTATTTTCCTACATAGAGATGGAAGGCTCCACTGAGCTTTAGCCACAGCAATACAACTAACTCATTTATTTACAACTTATTTAAAATTAATATACTTTGTTTCAAAGTCTTATACCATTCTATTTTTTGTAATACCTAAAAGTTTTAGATCTTTGGAAAAGCAGCAATAGGCAACTTACAGGCCACTGTACCTGACTAACTGGTCTCAGCTTTCTATTCAAACGCCTCTCTACTCCAAAGCAGTCTGTGAATGCCTGCAGGGCAATCATCTTTTACACTAACAGCTCCCTAATGACACACTTGCTGCAGTCCAATAAAGAAGTTCATTTGCCACAGAGTTTACTTCTGCATACATCTTTTTCAGACAGACAGAGAGGTAGTCTACACAATTGTCTGCGATGTAAGCAAACCAAGAGGGGAACCAAAACAAGCCACCTATCTCACAAAAAAGGAAAAAAAAAAGAAAAAAAAAAGAAAAAAGCTGAAATCCATAACTAACATGTAATAATTGAGATTTGACCGGTGCTAGATATCACATGCAGAGTATTACATATCAACTTTTTTTTTTAGTACTCTATCTTTACCTTCTTAAAACCACCACTTCCCCTAATCCTCCCTTCCCCGAAATACTTGAGATAGGCTTGCTGTCTCTCTGAAAAATAACTGCGATATAACCAGTACAATCATTGTGCATTACATGTTTTTGTAAATATATTTTGAAAAGCAAAGTGTTTCTTTCAAACTGGAGTTCCTGAGAACTTCAGAAGTACAAATGAAAACCTGGCAATTGCCAACACAGTAGTTAAACAAAAAGCAACACAGACCAGCCAAAGAATATTTGTGCAATACTTGCAGTTTGAGCAGTTAATAAACTGGTATGCTATAGATGTGCTATACAATTTACATACAGTT